CATGTATTTTCTCAGGCAGATGCTTACAGCATTCGTATGGTATCTTGATTTGATGGTTCTTGTATGTGACGTTCTTGTATTTTTCTACGAATGGCTTGGATTGGATTCTTGTTGTACCAATAAATCCATTGCAGAAGGGTTGTAGTTTCGACAGAGAATTTCTTCTTATCATTTCAGTAACCAGTTCCTTATTGTTACATCTTATGGTCACAGGAAGTGGATCTGAGACGGAAATTAACCAATAGTTCATTTCGACTTCTTGAATATTGTATCCAGAGGCTAATAGTATTGATGTTTCACAGGTTTTTGGAAGCTTGTCGTATTGTCTTAATAACTGGGCTTCGCATATGGCATCGCTGTCGATCGGGTACTGAAGTAGGTTGGAACATATCTTGACGTATGGCTTCAATGGTTTACATTTATTGATGTCTTGTGGTAATACGTAAGATAAAGAATCGTCATCTCTCATAATGTATTTTAAATTTGAAGGTAAAATATGATAGATTCCTGTTCGGTTATCTAGTATAGGTATAGGAAAGATGCGATATAAAGTAAAAGTTTCTGGTTCTATCAATGGAATTTTAAGAATAAAACTATCTTATTATCAGATTGATAAGCTTCTAATTCTATTATTTCTAAATACTGAGCAACATTTGATGTATACGTTGGAAGTGGAAGATTGGTTTTTGAGAGTGATTTTGATATGTCTTGAAGAGAATAAATTAAGTCTGTAGGTGTAATAATAGAGCTATGTAAATTTTAAACGTGAAAACGTAATAAATTCAGGATATCGTCTAGAGATTTCTCTAAAATGCAAACTTATCCATTAAGATTGACAAAGATCTAAAGTCTTTATCTGTGCTTCGTAAAATGCAAGATCGTCTGAAATGTTTATTAATGAATTTTGAATTTCGTCTATATTTTTTGTTAAAACGCTTTCCCTCGTCAATTTGTAAATTTTGAATGGTCGAATTAAATTTTTTGATAACAGAGGTTGTAACTGATATTTGGTTTTAATAAACTTTCTATTTCACGTTCGTCACGATTTATTTGTGCCGTTACATTTATATTACTCGCCGTCGGAAGAATCTAGATTTCCAGTAATCGACTTGAATATACTACCTATTCCGTTTATTAGTCCGTGTTTACTACGAAATTCATATTTTTTCGTATCAGCAGTTATTTCTTTCCAGTTTATTTTCACAGAATCGTTGGATTTGAGACAATAAATTGATATGTGTGTGTATTTGTGTCTTAAAAGCTATTTTTCTAGGCGAGGGGTCATTAAACATATCTATCATAGAAGATAGAATTACATCGTTGTTTTTTATAGATTCTCTTAAGGGTCCTAGTTCTTTATATACAAGTAGAGTCCATTTGTCGTTAGAAATTTTGAGAGTGTTTTCTTCATGTAAGAAAACTCCGACTGTGTTGTTTACTGGGGTGATGAAAAACTGGGCGAGGGTCATTGAGATGAGCCCAAGGATTCTGAAAAAAATAGACTAGTCATTCAAAGGCTTTATCTACCAAAATTAATTTTGAATTTTTGATTTAAAATTTTTTAACTAGGGCGGAAGTTCCTAGAGATTTTACGAGTAATTTCAATGGTCCTCAGTCACGTTTAGAACTGCAGTGCAACTTTAAAAATAAATCCATTCAAATATAAACATAAAAATATTTTATTGAAAAATAAACTTAAATTTTTTTTTTTTTTTTTTGAAATATACAGGTTGTTTACCACATACGACTTGCAGATATGGCTGACCAGACACAAGTAAGTTTGGGTTCGATGAAGGACTATTAGAATAAGGGCTAAAAATATTTTACAAGATACAGAGTCCCAAACAAAAATATTATAGTTAACATTTTAACAAAAAAAAAAAAAAATATTCTATTTTTAGATTCTACGATAAATAATGTTAAGTGGAGATGGATTTATCACTTAAACACTGCCATTTTGCAATTTTCAATTTTGTAATTACGGTAAACCAAGGCTTCATTTCTCAAGGGTATCAAAGTTTTTATTACTAGATATTTACTGAAGATTATTGTGATCGAATTTTTAGAATTATTTCAGAATATAAAAATATTTAAAAAAAAAAAAAATTATGTTAAATAATGACTAATGGCGGCAATGAGCTAATGGAACCTATATTTTACATTAGAAGGCACAATAAATGTCTATCCAGAATATTATACCATTTTTAATCTCTTCAGGAACAAATAGAAATGCGACCTCTGCTGAACAAATTTTATCTGCTGTCCATGGAGATATAGACATTTGGGTATTTTTTAAGATAACAGAATTCAAAAGTGCAGATGTATTGTCGCTTATTTCATTAAAAATTTGGTACCGACTGATGTTATGAGCTTTAACATATCCTATATATTTCCATAAACAGATGCGATAATTAATTAAGTTTATGACATAAGCGGCTGATTTACATGAGATAAACAAAACTGTCGAATCAATAGGTATTATTGGCCATTCTACGCTAGTTTCTGGTAATAGAAAGCGATCTAAGTTCTGGACCATAAAACATCAACAATCTCGACTGACTGGCACTGCGGTGGTACGGTTATTAGATAACATGACGAAAAATTCTGGTTCAAACCAAATAAAATAATTAAATAAAAAAAAAAAAAAAAAAAAAAAAAAAAAAAAAAATGCAAATATTCTATTTAAAACTGCAATTACATTGAAATAGAATTAACATCACATAATGATGGTATTATATAAAACCATATTAACACAATAATAGTGTATATGCAGCTAACAATAGCTATTTTAGTTATTAAGAAAGAAGGTATCGGAATAACCGGCCACAATTTTCGGTATTACTCAGAATGGAAAAATGACACAAGGGCTATATGGCCAAGAATCTGCTGTGCTGTGAACAATTATAGGGGACCCGAGCCTTGGCGCACCCAGCATTCTATTTGAAAAATTTAACTTTTATTAAAAAAAAAAAAAAAAACTATATTTTTATTAATTTAGGCTACTATTGCTAACCAGGCTACTGTAAAGAAAAGCCAAATAGAAAACCTGCTAAAAGTTTAATGAAAACAGTGAGTCATTCTGCAATAATTATAAAAAAAATGTTTGAAGTTTTTTTTTCGGCACAACACTATAGTCAAATTTAAAATATAAATTTAGAGGCCCACTGCCTGGGGGTTGGTGTTACAACAACAAGATAAAACACTAATTCACCACAAAACACTTTATTTTTGTCATCATGGCGGTACAATCATCTTTGATGATAATATGTAGCAGGCTACGCGTTATGCAAAAATGAGAGGTGTTTGACCTGTTAATGTTAGTGATAGGACATTGCAATTTTACTGTGAAAATGAAGATATTTGATATTACATGGTCATAAAAATCATCAACCATTAAATAAATATTATATATAATTTAAGTAGCAAAAAAGAAGTAAAGTGTAATGAAGATTCACTTAAGCGCAAGGGACGCTAAACAGGACCAGCTGTAATGAACTGCGTATGTACAGGCCATCTGGCAAATCTAATGACCACTGATGTCAGGTTTTTGATCGGCATCATATAGTTGACGCGGCGGCAATACCGATCGTGGAGGAGTCGTTGTGCTGCCTGGCGGCGAGGCAGACGAATTGACCGGTCACGTGAACAGTGAAATTCGAGTCATGCGCCGAAACGATCCTGCTGCCTGCGCCATTGTTAAAGATGGCACCACCGCAAAAGTGTCAGTAGGCCGTATTCTTCGTTGCTGTTAAGACAAAGAGGCTGCGATCACAAAAACCGGCAAAACTTATTCGTTCAGGGCCAGCAATCCTCTAACGGGGTGAAGGAGCTGAACGAATCCCGTGAACACGGCACGCGATCGCCCGGCAAAACTGTCAGACCTAACTGTGAGAAACTATTGAATCCCCGTGAACGCAGCTACTTCGGCTGCTGTCGACTGATCCTGGAGACAACAGCTGAGCTGAGATCTGTCTTGTTACTAACCAAGGGGAAAGAAGGAGCGTGAGAGAGATAACGAGCAAGGTGGTACAGTAAACACACGGGTCGCGAATGTTCTTGGAACTAGGGCAGGATCTCGTCTATTCCGCGACTGGTTCTGTAGTTCCCGTATTCTCATCAGGAGCGCCGTGGGATCTCGCCGACATCCCGAGGTGGTCCTGACCGGGCGGTGTGGACTGTGCTTATCCAGACGACTAATCGAGACGCCGTTTCGTTCTACAGCGAACGATCCAGGGCTCGCGTGCGTACCTATCCCACAGGACTCCGTTCGTCCTACTGCGAACGATCCAGGACTCGCGTGCTTATCTATCCCACAGGACGCCGTCTCGTTCTACTGCGCACGATTCAGGGCTCGGGTGCGTAATTATCCCACAGGACGCCGTTTCGTTCTACTGCGAACGATCCAGGGCTCGCGTTTGTTTATCCCGGGACGTCTGTAACGACGTCGCCGATGTTTAGAAAGTCGGTTTATAAAAGAGTATGTCGCTCCGGTACGTACATGTCCGTGTTTACTAGGACGCCGTTAAGTTAGACGCCGGTTAGAAACTCGCGTCGTTTTGTTTACTAGAACGTCATGTCAAAACGCGCTTTGAATTCGCGTGATTAAATCGGACAGTGAGATGCATATCGAGATTATACGGTCAAAACTCTAGAGGTGCTCGATTGTTGTTGTAAATTTTATTCTACGAGTCTTTAATTATAATTTTCTTTTCACTTTCGGCCTACAATTTAAAGTCGTGAAACTTCCTGGGGTATTTAGCATATAGTTAAATAATTAAATAAAGCCTTAATGTTATGTTATAGTTAACTGTGTGTTTTATTTCTTTTCATTTCATCACTCCCTGGTATCTCCACTGTATAAAAGCTACCCGTATTGGCGAAACGTGGACCTCTTCCACTATAAAGAACAGGGTGGCGCCCGAGAGATTTAAATTTACTACTGTGCGCCAGTAAGGCTATTTATTTTTCACTGAACCAAGAAAATAAATTAAGACTCTTACAAAATTGGCGCCCCAGCATAGGGACTTGATTGTTTTGAAAATTAAACCGTCAAAAATACCAGGAAAACCGGGTAAAGCTAGTAAAAGCAGGAAAGCTATTGAAACAGTGTGAGGGGAGGTGAAAAGAAAATAACAACCGTCGAGCATAAGTACCTCTAGAGACAGTAAAGTCTCAGTGCTTCTGAGTTAAAGACTAGTGAAATCTAGAGCGATATGGAAACTGAGGAAGATTTTTTGTCGATCGGTGCTTCCGTTGAAGGTAACGACGCCGTACCGTCGCTGTCGCATACAGGTTTGAACCTGGCGCCGTCTGGCACGAGTGCTGAATCTGATTTCAGGACAGGGTGGATTTATTCCCTGAAGAAGTCTGAATTAGCCGCACAACTGGTGCGTTTTGGACTGGATAGTACCGGGACTGTCGAAGAAATGCGAAGAAGAATAGTGAGATTCATTAGAGAAGGACAGGCGAGTCCACGGCCTGTCACACAGCCTTTTGGATTTCCTGGAAATAGTGCTGTTGTACCGACAGTGAGCTCTACAGCCACCCTGACCACTACGACAGTGACAACTACAGTGGCAGCAACCTCGAGTGGATACATTGCTGGACGTGTAGTGCCTTCTCCGGTGGTCTATACTTCTACTTCACAGCCTGTCCCTCTGCCGATAAATCCAGGTATGTCAAATAGTTTAAATACTAATCCTATACAAGTTTACAAATGGGGGGTGACATTTAATGGTCGCTCGGACCCTGTAACATTCTTAGAGAGACTGGAAGAAATTTGTATAGCACAGAATATACATCCGGATCGTTTATTGCCACATTTACCAGAAGTTTTGCAGGGAGAAGCTGCGCTCTGGTACCGCAATAACCGAGTGAATTACAGGACCTGGGAAGAATTTGCAGGAGAATTTGGAATTTTTGTCAGTAAATTGTATGAGGTGGACCTAGAGGCGAAGATAAGTCGTCGAGTGCAAAGACATAACGAGTCCGTCACGGCGTACATCACTGATCTTCCAAACGTTGATCCACAGACATGGCAGCATCTCTCCGAATCAAGAATTGCAGTGGTTGTACAGAAATTTGTTACCTGAATTTCGTCAGTATGTCCGAAGAGAAGATTTTCACGATATTTCATCGTTCTCAAGAATAACCAAGGAGTTTGAACTGCTTAATCAGGAACTGCAGCGATCGTCCCGTACTTATGCACCGTCCGATGTCGAAGCCCGGCCGAATAATACGCCTCGGCGAGACAGGCTGGAAAATGAGCATGCTGGAGCCAGGAGCAACCTGATGGTTATCCAGAGCCAATCGCCGTCTCAGAGTAAACAGAGACATGTGTCTGTTACTCCCCGTGTTTCAAGATATCCGTATAGAGCGCCGAACTCTGCAAAACAGACTTCAGAAGCAATCTGTTGGAGATGTGGACAGACAGGACACTTCCGCAGACAGTGCACATCCGAGCCCAAAATCTTTTGTTCCCGATGCAAAAAGACAGGTGTTCTTTCAAGGAATTGTCCATGTGTGAGCCCAGGAAATCTGGAATCGAACCGCACAGAAATATTCCATGAACAACAATATTCACCAACTGAGATTGTTGAAGAATTACCACAAATCATACGTCAAGAAATTCGTCCTGTTGTGAAGATTCGCTACCGGAACACCGACTATTTGGTCCTGGATACTGGAGCTGCCCATTCCTATATTGGAAAGAAATTGACAGAACAGTGCCAAACTTCCAAAGCAATTCCTGTCAAACCCGCGGTAAAAGGAGCGAGACTTGCTAATGGTGCCACGGAATCCATTAGCACAGCATTTAGGATGAAAATCCAAGTAGGAGAGCAGTCTCTGAATGAGGTTTTCCACAGTCTAAAAGACTTAGTTTCGGATATGATTATTGGTATGGATATTCTGGGCAAGCATGATTTCCAGATTGATTTACGAACCCGACAGATCCGATTGAATGCTAAGTTGGTGAGTGCAGAATCGGTGGTTTCGTCCTGTAATGTCATGTCAAGCTTAAAGATCCGGAGCTCCGCCGAAAGTTTACAAGTGAATCCGAAGAAAACTGTTGAACAAACAACCGAGAAGTTGGGGAAAGGCCAATGTCAAGCATCCGTTTCTAAAGGCAGTCGCCTTCCGATAAAAACGAGTCTACAGAGTCCTGTAGAAGAGTTCCGCAGACGTCAAACTAACAAGTTTTCTGACTCCAAAGATGTATTGCTTCAAAACTCTGATCGAGTTCCAGTGGAGAAGAATGTTTGCTGGCGATGTGGAAACCCCGGACACCTACGTGGTGTATGTCAGAAAAGATTTCTTTTGTTCTGTTCCAGATGTGGAACACTCGGCGTGCGATCACAAGATTGCAAATGTAGATGTATACCTTCCCGTTCAAATCACTCCGAATCCTGGGCTGATGAATGTTGGTCAAGAGGAAGATCAACAGGCATCTAAACAGTATCTAAAAAAAACCGTCCCGGCTGATGAAGTTGTAGAACTGATGTTATTTTGAATTTTTCAGACTATAACGACTCATGACTCATGAGTCACTGCCAGGACCTATCTGCAAGCCACACTGACGCTAGTTAACTCCCCCACACTCCCATGTATCTGGAAGCCAGTCTAGGCGGAGACAGCAACAACTTGCCAGGAAAGAAGTGGAGAAGTGACATGCAGAAAAACCCGATGTCCTGGCCCGTCTGAAAACCAACGCCGGACGTCCAGCAACAGGAGTCTGTCGTCACAATGTCCTCAGTCTACAAGTCATCAGATTCTAAGTTTTCATTTCTTGTTTACTTTCTTTAAAGGGGTTTGCTTTTCTTTAAAAAAAGGCGACTTAAGTTCTGCTTTTGATAGTTAAAGTAAAAAAAAGGGAGTTGATTTATATCTTTTGATGGGTAAAGAAAATAAAGAGTATTGCGCGATTTTAAGTCTCTATGTTATGTCTGCAGGGGTTTGGATTCTGGTTGTTTAAAAAAAAATTAAAATCGAAAGGAAACAGAAAGAGGGTAGAGAAGTTTTGTTTAAGGAAATTCTGTAGTATCTCTCATCTGGTCGTTTTTTTAAATATGAAATTATATTGCGATGTTCTGCGTGCCTGAAGAGTTGAACTAATTCATTTGTGTTATAGGTGTATGGGTCTCCATGACTGAGCCATTTGCAGGATCGTTCAACGCCGTTGGAACACGAGGGACTCGCCGAAGCTCTCAACTCCGCTGGGCCACGAGGGACTCACCGAAGCCTTCAACATCGTTGGACCACGAGGGACTCACCGAAGCTCTCAACGTCGCTGGACAACGAGGGACTCGCCGAAGCTTTCAACACCGTTGGACCAGGAGGGACTCACCGAAGCCGGAACACCGTTGGAGCAAGCTCGACACGTCGAAGCTCTAGACACCGCCGAAGGAAGATCTTCAAGTTGAAGAAGACCGAAGATATTGCGTAATTTAGTTAAGTTTGCATTTTTGAAAATAAACATTTGATTTTGCGGTCGTTTTATTTTAGTAATTTAATCATGATCAAGATACAAAGTTTTAGATTAAGTCTTGACAAATAAACATTTGAGTTTATGATTGTTTTCTTTTAGTTGTAAGCATAATCAAAGTGATACCAGGTCCCAGATATATCAAGGTTTTAGATTAAGTTTGCCCCGTAACCATTCAATTTGTTGTTATTTTTGTTAGATGAAATCTTGCCCAGTAAATATCCGAATTTATTGTTGTTGTATTAGGTTAAGTTTGGCCCAATAAACATTCGAATTTGTTGTTGTTTTATTAGACTTTAAGAGATATACTGGGCGTTAGCTTAAGTTTTGGTCAAACAAAAGCTGTTTTAACAGGAAGTTTCATTTCAGCATAGCTGGCAAAATATATGTTCATATATTTTTAATAGAAGTAAGAGGGTGGTTCTTTCAAGTGCAGGGCTCATTCGGTTTATACTGTACCCAAAATGACGGGACGCTGCTTAAGCAAAGGTTAGGCAATGTATTTTATTGTTAACTCAATATGGTAATGAACTTCATTAATGTTCTTACTGTTGAATTAAATGCGTTAGATATTTAATGACCATATTGTAATAGAGTTTTGATCGGCGTTACTCGCTATAGTTCGGTACGGCAGCCGAGAAGCTGGCCCTACTAGTACCGGTCGAGTGGAGGGGAGGGTCGTTTGAGTATACCTTGGCAGCGAGAGCGCCAGGTAGTTAGTGGTGTGATCGCACGTGAACGGTGAAGTTCGAGCCCGGAGTGCCCTGCCAAGTGTCCTGCTGCCAGCTGCCAGCCGCCTGCCGCCGTATTGTTTAAGGTGGCACCAAATGGTAGGTCGTATTCTTTTTATTGTTAATACCGTTTTGCTACTGCCTTGCGACGCGTTGCCAGGATGAGGAGACCAAGAGATAGTTAGAACGCGCGATCGCAAAAGCTGGCAAAGCTTGTGTTCGTTCAGGGCCAACTGTCCTCTAGCAGGTTGGGGAGCTGAACGGATCCCGTGGACGCGAGGAAAGCGCGCGATCGTAAAAGCCGGCAAAACTTGTGTTCGTTCACCTCGGGTGCGTAATTATCCCACAGGACGCCGTTTCGTTCTACTGCGAACGATCCAGGGCTCGCGTTTGTTTATCCCGGGACGTCTGCGTAAAGTCAGTTTATAAAAGAGTATGTCGCTCCGGTACGTACATGTCCGTGTTTACTAGGACGCCGGTTAGAAACTCTCGTCGTTTTATTTACTAGAGCGTCATGTCAAAAACGCGCTTTGAATTCGCGTGATTAAATCGGACAGTAAGTTGCATATCGAGATTATACGGTCAAAACTCTAGAAGTTAACAATTGTCATTCTTCTAAGTGTTATAATTTTCACTTTCATTACAATTTAAAGTCGTGAAACTTCCTGGGGAATTATTTAGCATATAGTTAAATAATTAAATAAAGCCTTAATGTTATGTTATAGTTAACTGTGTGTTTTTATTTCTTTTCATTTCATCACTCCCTGGTATCTCCACTGTATAAAAGCTACCCGTATTGGCAGCGTGGACTCTTTACTATGAAACAGTGGCCCAAGTTTAATTGCGCCAGTAAAACTAGCTGAAGAAAAAAGTGAGACTCATACAAAATTAAAAGATACAGCAACAACGCCGGGCTTCCCGCTACCGCGCAACATGACGCCCGCCCGATATACGCCGTCAAATCAAGAAAATATTCCGGTGGTGGCACGTCCGCCCCTTGCCGCGCCAACCCAGACTACCGGGCTTCGACGTGTCCGCGTGATATAGGGGGCTGCGTATTGGTGGCATTGCATGTATATATATATATATATATATATATATATATATATATATATAGTGAATATATATATATATATATGGTGAGGTATATATATATATATATATATATATATATATATATATATATATATATATATATATATATATATATATATATATATATATATATATATATATATATATATATATATATATATATATATATATATATATACCACCAATACGCAGCCCCCTACATCACGCGGACAGGTCGAAGCCCGGTAGTCTGGGTTGGCGCGGCAAGGGGCGGACGTGCGACGAATTTAATTCGGCTGGAATATTTTCTTGATTTGACGGCGTATATCGGCAGGCATCGCTGTGCGCGGCAGCAATTTTAGCCAGTCTCGGTATTTTTTTTCTTTGGTTCAGTGAAAAATAAATAGCCTTACTGGCGATAATGGTAAATCTCGGGCACTGTTGCTATAGTGGAAGATCACGATCCGCAGCTGCAGGCGCTTCCAGGGAAGTGATGAAAAGCACACAGTTAACTAACGGTAAGGCTTTGACTGTTAAATACTGGAAATTCACGACTTTAAGTAATAGTGGAAGAAAGAAGTACAATTAAAAGACTCGTAGAAACAAATTTACAACAGCAATCCGGCCTGGGACTGACCGTATGTCACGCGATCAAAGCGTTTTATTTATGACGCTGGCTAAATAAAACGACGCGGTTTAACCGGCATCTAACACGGTTTGTCTGCCTGTAAACCGACTTTCCTAAACACGTCGGCGACGTCGTCTGGTGAAATAAGCAAACGCGACTGGATCGTTGCGGTAAGAAACAGGCGGACAATTACGCCCGGAGTGGTACAAGCACGATCGCGCTTTCGCGTCCACGGATCATTCGCTCCCCGGCTGAAGGCAGTTGACCCTGAACGAGCACAACTTTGCCGACTGCAATCACGCGGATATCTCTAATCCCCATCAAAAGCTAAATAATAAATGACCCTCTCGTCCGCTTTGACGATGGTCTTCTATAGCTATCAAAACTAGTAAAGGCCTCTGACAGACTCATTTCACTCATTCTACTCATACTTCTGTTTTATTTTTTTTGTTGGAAGATCTTTTAGACGAATGGTGATCATTTCCATGACCATCTCGAGAGAGATGGCCATAGGAATAACCCCTAGACAGTGTGGGACTCGTGTTGATACCCACTAAAAAAGTCCACCTCCGAGGAATCAGCCGCCGAAGATGGTCAGCTATTATTCCTGCTAATATGTGGGGAAGAAGGGGGGGTGTGGGGTAATGGGAGGACTATATTATGAGAAGGGGGGGACAAAATTAATTGTCTAGAAGAATGGTTTTGGGTGTTTGGGAGTTTCTATAGTCCTCGGGATTGTAATCGAATATTTTTTAGGGTACTATTGGGGATAGTACCGATTTTCTCGTAGAACTTCAAGGCACGATCTCGAAGGTATTTGGGGATGGGGTCGATGCGTAGGTCAGTACGTATGTCGGAGTTTCGTATATACCAGGGAGCTCTGGTGATATAGCGGAGGATTTTGTTCTCACAGACTTGGAGTCTGTGGATTTGGCTATCGGAAGCTCTACACCATACTGGGGCTGCATAGAGGAGCTGGGGGCGAATGACTGTTCTGAACAGTAGGACTTTATTTGAGAGGGAGAGGGTGCTCTTTTTGCTGAGGAGGCCATGAATGCTAGCATAAGTGGCACGGGCACCAGATATTTTCTTGTCGATATGAGGGATCCAGGATAGCCGTCGGTCTAGTGTGACTCCAAGATACTTGGCGGTTTCCCCCAAGGGATCTCTTCGTCGTCTATGACTAGGAGGAGGTAGTGGGAGCCTCATTCGTCCGCAGACGAACAAGGTTTGGGTTTTCGCTGCATTGATTTTGATTTTCCAATGGGAAAACCAATCAAGCAGCTGGGCTATGTGGGGTTGGAGCCTGCTCAGAATTCCATTGCTCGAGGCAGTGGAGTAGAGACAGGTGTCGTCTGCGAATAACGCAAGACGAGTCTCCAGGGATTTAGGGATATCGGATGTGAAGGTATTATAGAGTGTGGGCGACAGGACAGAGCCCTGCGGTACCCCCGCCTCTATAGCACGAGGAGTGGAAAGGGAGTCTCCGATGCGGACCCGGAATCTCCTATCGACAAGAAAGGATTTAATGATGAGAGTGATCTGTTGGGGAAAGTGGAAAACGTGGTGAAGTTTGAACACAAGGCCTTCGTGCCAAACCTTGTCAAAGGCCTTCTCGATGTCAAACATGACAAGACCAGTGCCTCGCCTGGGGTTTAGACC